AATGTTTGTTGTGTGCAAGAGACCCGGTTTTCTTCTCATGACCGTGAGGATATACTGTCTAGAGGGTTCGCCCTTTATTCAGCATGTTTTGATGGTCGTTCGAGGGGTGTCTCTTGGCTAGTGAGCAGGTCTTTGAAGGCTGCTTGTACCCTTGTCTTCGCAGATCCGGCGGGCAGGCTTTGTGTGCTGGATGTTACTATAAAGGATAAGGCTTTACGTCTCATTGGGGTTTATGCGCCCAATAGTCATACTGAGCGGCCTGCTTTGTTTCGGCAGATCGAGCCGTTTTTGACGACTTCTCGTCGGGTAGTCTTAGCGGGGGATTGGAATGCCGTCCTTGACCCCGATATAGATCGTATAGGTAAAAACCGGGTACTAACAATCCTGATGTGAAGGCATTTCGGGCTTTATCGGCAAGTTTGATCTTGTCGATAAGTACCGGAATGAGCACCCTCAGGAGGTAGCATGGACTTGGACAACTAGTGGCGACTCGGATTCTGGCTCGCTTGCGAGCTACCTGGACCGAGTGTTAGTTAGGGAGTCGATGTAGGGCTCTTAGAGTGTCCAAGTTTCCACTATATAGTTTATACGGATCATAGGCTTGTCCGGGTCCGTGTAAACTTAGATAAACCTAAGGTTAGGATGGCTGGTTACTGGAAATTTAACTGTTCATTATTTGGTGAGCAGGATTTCCGGGACCAGCTGCTACTAATGATTCAGAGGAATTGACGGGGGCGGTTGTGGGAAACGCCTGGTGGGGAAAATTAAAATCTAAGATTAGAACGTTTGCTGCCGATTTTAGTCGTCGACTCAATCTAGATAGATTAGCGGCGCAAACGGCGTTAGAAGATAAAGTTGATCGGGCCGTGAAATCCCGTGTTAGTGGGGACATAGTCGTAGCTAAGGCAGAGTTGGCCTCCTTGCTTATCAAGAAGGATCAAGCTCTGGTAGTTAGGGCTAGGCTAAAAAGAATGTCTTCTGAGGCGACGAATATGGCCGCTGAATTGCGTGCAGAGGAGAATAGGAACGCGGCTAAGCGACATATAGCGTGCGTCACATTGCCGGATAAGCGGACCGTGACTACAAGCGCGGGCATATGCGAGGCCTTTCGGCTTTATTTTCAGGATCTTTTTCACCAGGGAGCCCGGTCTGAGCTCTGCTCAGTTCGATGCCTATTTGGCTGACTTTCCCTGCCTTGAGGCAGCTGAAGCGGCTAGGTGCGAGGGTCCCATAACAGAGTCGAAAATCTGGGATGCGCTGAAGCAGGTTGGCCTGGATAAGTCTCCGGGACTAGATGGACTTCCCTACGAAGTGTACTTGAGGCTGTCGCCCGTTTTGTTCCTTTGCTGCAGCTGATTTACAACCACTGGATGAGGCAGGGGTCTTTACCTCGACGCTTCACCAGGGGTGTGATCAAGTTGTTGCGTAAGGACAAGAACGGTGGGGATGGGTTAGGGAACTTTCGCCCTTTGACGATGTTAAATACTGACTTAAAGATTTTGGCGAAGATCTTAGCCAACCGTTTGCAGCTTGTCCTGTCTCGTCTGATTGGCCCCGAACAGACTTGTGCTGTGAAGGGCAGGACGATTCAGGATAACCTTCATATGGTACGCTTGATCTTAGAACAAGTCGACAGTGAAGCCGCGCTGATCAATTTAGATCAGTCCAAGGCCTTCGATAGGGTTGACCATCGGTTTCTGGAGGCTGTCCTGTCGGCGGCCGGTTTCGGAGACGACTTTCGCTCCTGGATCCGACTCTTGTATGCGACCCCCGGTGCGCTGGTGGAAGTGAATGGGGTAAGGTCGGAGCCTTTCGTATTGTCTCGCTCCATTCGTCAAGGTTGTCCGCTATCGCCCTTGCTTTACGTTCTTGCGTTGGAACCATTCCTTCGCAAGTTAAAGGCGAATCCGGTCCTGCGCGGAATTACCCTGCCTGGCGCGCTACCACCTCGGCCAGGTATTCTGCCTATGCTGACGACGTTTCGGCTCTTGTGTCGAGCAGAGCCGAGATTGACGAAGTCAGCAAAGAAATAAGTGGGTATGAGATGGTGACAGGGGCCAAGATCAACCGTGATAAGTTTGTGGGCTTGCGGTTGGGTGCGTGGAAGGAGTTTCTCTTCCCGGACCTTTCCTCTGGACGGATGGGCCGATCAAGATACTCGGCGTCTGGTTCGGTCCTGATCTCCAGTTGGAAATGAACTGGTCGGAGGTACAAGGGAAGGCCGAGATCGCGGTTAATCTGTGGTCTCGGAGGAGACTTTCCCTGAAGGGAAGGGCGGAAGTATGTGTTTCACACATCTATCCGATCCTCCTCTACCGACTCTCTGTGCTTCCACTCCCGTATGCCCGACTAATGTCATTAGTCAGGACCTTGTTCTCTTTCTTGTGGAGAGGCAAGGCCCTATGGTATCTCGCGAGGTCTGTTGCCTCCATCCCTCTGAGGGCGGTCTGGGGATGCCTAGCATTGAGATCCGTCAATATATGCTTTGCATTACCTTTTTAGACCGAATGTGTCGTGGGTCGAATGAGGAGGGTGCCTTTTGGAAAGAAGACGTCCAGAAACATTTTCCGTCCCTGAAAAGTGTGCACTCGTGCGAACAAGAGGCCGGCCGTTTACCACGTGCCGAGTGCTCTTTTATCGTGAATGTCGTCGCGCTCTGAAGCTCCTCTTACGGGCTTCGGATGGTCTCTCCAACGCCCAGGCGTTGTCTCGCAAGGCATTATATCAAGTTTTAGTTAGGGGTCCGTACAAGATGATCTGATTGGCGAGCTCGGTCTTACGAAGCAGGAGGCTCGCTCGATATGGCCTTGGGCGCCCGGGTTGAAATGTCTCAATAACGATGAGGCATCACTCACCTGGCTGGTGATTCGTGAAGCCCTCTGGGTCGGCAAGAGACTTTGTTCAGCAGGTTTGGAGAAATATCAAACTGTCGTCGCTGTACGGGGAAGTCGAGACTATTGGTCACGCCTTCTTTCAGTGCAGGGCGGTAGTGCCGCTGTGCAAGTTTGTTGAAGGCCTCATGGTTCGCATGCTGCATAGAAAGTTTTTTGTCCTGGAAGCCAGTTCTGTTTGTAGCAATGTGGTGCCGCAGATGACGAAGGCTGAACACTATGTGTTCTGTTGCTTACTAGGGGTTATGAGAGTCGTGATTTGGACGACGCGTCAGAAGGATTCCATGAGGGCGAGAAGTTCACTTCTTCCCAACTGATCTTGTTCTTTAAGCATCAGCTTGAAGTCAAGATCAGGACGGAAAACGGCGGCTCACCTCATCGGAATTCAGCAAAAGGTGGGTGATTCTTGCGCGAATGTGCCGAGTAAAAGGGGCTGACCTTGAGTGGCATCTGGATGCCGGTTAGGCATTAAGGATATTGTTTTCCTGGGTTGAACATAGGCAACCCATCCCGGAGTTAGGTTAGATTAGGTTTTTTTTTTTTTTTTTTCTTTTTTTTTGTATTTTTTCTTTTAGTTTTTCTATTCTGGTAAACTTAGCTAGGGTGTATTTGCTCATTGGTCCGTTTTATTTCTGTCCCCATTTTCTTTTCCTTTAGTTTAACTCCCCATCCCCTCCCTCGTTTGGGTGGTCAGTGATGTCAGTTCTCTGGTAGATGCGGGGCGCTTTTCGTTTTCGTGCGTGTGTTTTTCGTATTTGTTGTTGTGTATGAATGAGTGTGTGCCTGTGTGAATGCTTGGGATGAATGAGTGTGGCTTTTATTTTTCATAAGTCCCGCATCGATTTCGTCCGGTTAACTGATATTTCTGCCACATCCAATAGTTTGTGGGGGGTTTTATTACTAACACTAATTTTATTTGGTTTCTTGTAAATATTATTTTGTCATTTTGTATATATTTCATTGGGGATCTTTTTAGAAGTTGTTGTTTTTTTATGCCCTCCCCACAGACAATATTTGTACATAAGGGGATCATTTAGGTTTTTTCATGGAGTCAAAGAGGCATTTTGGTGTATGTAGTAAGAAAGGTATGGATAAATGTGTTGTTTTGGTGAAAGGAATATTGTTCAGTATGATAGGGTCAGTGGATGTGGCTAGCTAAGTTTTAATCTAAGACAAGTGATGACCGTTCTTTACCCCAACCCCCTTTTCGGCCTTGTGCCACATTTGTACCTTAGTACAATAAATAATGTCAACAGGAGGCCAGGGAAGAGACCTGTCACGGTCAGGCTGAGCGGTCAGCAACAGGAAACCACTCTTTTCTAAGATAAACCTATTCACAGATAAAAAAAAACAGAGGAAACTGTGGAGAGCCGTGATCGCCTATATTCTGAAAGAACATGGTAAAATGATTTCGTAGCTATCATTTTCGCTTTAATTACTGTGACGATACGTTTCTAATGCATATTCGTTTATTTAGGCGCATATCTTTGTTTTTGTTGTTTTTATTACAACGTTTCGGTCGCATACGCACAGACCTTCCTAAGGTGTTTTTTGCATTCAATAACTTTCCGGCAATACCGGACGGAAAATGTTATTTAATTCACGCTGATTATATTTATAGTCTGAGTTGTGCTGAGTTAACTTAAGTAAATATCGAGAATGTCTTCTGTTTATAGAAAGAGAGAGAGAGAAAAAAAAAAAAGAAGAGTAAAACGTACCAGAAAATATTCCGCAGAGATTTACCGAAAATTCTCCTGTGACCATTATGTTATTATATCGACTTGCAAATTATCAATATTCAACAAACAACATTATTTTTCAGGCACAATTCTTGACATAAACAATTCGGTAATATTCAATAACTTTATAAAATCCATTGGTTATTTCTTGTTATAAAAAATGAAAGCTAAATCTTTCTTAGAATATCAACATTAAATGAATTCAAATAAATCACTTTAGCCAGTTTTTCGAGCCATATCTATTTTTAAACTCTGACTGCAAATGCCTATTTAAATATTTACATAACATGTATGTTACGGGCACTTTGTGTCTGGTTAAAAAAAAAAAAAAAAAGGAAATTAAAAACAAAACTAACCAGTATAATCTGACGTACCTTGACTGAGGACATCGCGAAGGTTTGGCTGAATGTCCAGTTGTGTCCACGAACGAGGCAAAAAGGGAACATTTCTACGTTTGTTTTCGTCCGGTATATCTTCCTGAAGCACAGAGTAAAAAACAAGGTTAAAAAATTCGCAATTTGATTGTCTTTTCTTTTTTTTTAAAAATTCTTAATTATAAAGTGCATAATTAAAATAATGATGGGAACATCATAGGCGGGAAATACTTGAATATGTTGGACCATAGTTTTTTTTTTTTTATTTTTATTTATTTTGGTTTTGTTTTTCATAAGACTTCATAAGCGCGTGACAAAGAACAACAGAGCAGCGAATCTACGCATTACGATTATCCGTACTTCCATTATCCGAACTTCGATTAACCGGGCATAGAATGAAAGGAAAAATGGAAAACATCCTAACATTTTTCAGTTATCCGAACTAAACCCATTCTAATATTTCATCACAAACAAACCTGAGTATTTCGAGACATATACCCAAAGTTTCGTAAAAAAAAAGCTAAGATTAGTTCAATTCCCGTTAATTTCCTTATTGTTTTCATACGAAGAACCTACATTAGAATGATCACAGTGAACAGGGTATTGTTGACCTCGGATGGAAAATGTTGAGGATGATGATAATAAGGATTATTGCCCACGTTGAAGGACAACAGCCAATTTCAAACACCCAAGTAATGATTATGTTTGACAAATGTTTAAGTTGGTGGCGCTTTCAACCAGAAAAGCTACCCTTACAAATACATCGACTTGAATCCAGTTTCGATGGTCAGCGACAGAACAAAGGCTATGAAGCAGACAAAACGTTTTTTTCATTAAAAAATAAACTGGACCAAACCTTGAACAAAGCGTTTGAAAATAAATTTCTTTCAGAAAATGCTATTTGATTATATAATAAATGTCAAATTTCTTACAGAAAACGACGTTTTTTTCCATTCTTTTTCGATAATTTAGGTATTCAGTTATCCAGAATTTTAAATAATGCGAACACGTTTATTGCAACGCCTGTCCCAAAGTGTCTGGATAATCGAGGAAATACTGTACTTCCTTCCTTTGAATGTTGTTCCTTATTTTAATTTCTTTACCCGTCTGTTTGAGTTCCGAGTAATGCATGAAAAAAAAATCTTTAAAAACAACAGATTATGAGTAATTTCCATATCACAAGCAAGAAAATTAAAACGTATTAAGAAAAACTTGTCGCCTAAGCTGTGGACTGATGTTTTGAAAAATGAAGGAAATAACAAAGGAAAAATTTAACTGTAATTTTCATTATTTAATTTCAATGACTCAAAATAGGAAAACATCGGAAAAGTCCATTATTAACACATTAATTGCCACCGTAAAATCTGGTATTAATTACAGGTTTCGAAAAATATTCTTTATTAATTACGGGTTTAATCCGTTTTTACGGGTTTCAAAAAATCTGGTATTAATCATAGGTTTATAAAAAAAAGTCCTCATTAATTATGGGTTTCTAAAGAAAAATACGTTATAAAAAAAAAGGGTAAAAAAATCATTTTCAACCTTAGGTATCGAAAATTTATACCGAATTAGTGGAGGGACCTATATTAATGCCTGATATATATATATATATATATATATATATATATATATATATATATATATATATATATGTATATTATGAAAGTGAATAGAGTAGTCCAGTTTGCGAGGTAAATTTATTGTAAACTGATAATCCTACGGAAGTCAAAATTACTATGTTCATACGATGTGATTTAAAATTTAAAAAAGATATCAAAATAATTTTTTTTTAATTCGCAATCTGGAGTGCATATTCGACAATAATATATGAAGATGATAATCATATTCGACAATAATATATGAAGATGATAATCATATTGCTCATGTTGAAGGACAACAGACCAATGTCTAATTTGAAATACTTAAGCAACGAGCATGTTTGACAAATGATTAAATTGGTGGCGTTTTCAACCAGAAAAGCTAGCCTTACAAATACATCGACTTGAATCAAGTTTTGGTGGTCAGCGGCAGAACAAAGGCGAAGGAGCAGACAAAAATTAACGCTTTTTTTTCATTAAAAATAATTTTTTAATACTGATTTTTTAACGAAGTGTCACTTAAAGTAGAGGGTTACTTGTGAGGCGTCGTATGAGCGTAAGAAAAAGAAAAGGATGAAATTCATCGGTCTATGCAGGAGAGATACCAGAAAACCCTAGAATAGAAGAGGTCAAGATCGTAGTGATTGGGTAAAATACCTGTCGAAAGTCTATTCTACAATTCAACAATATGTGGCAAGAAGCTGTCCGAATGAAACTTGCTCCTTACTAATGGAATACGAAGGAAATAAAAATGATTCACACTTGTGTAGTGATTTTCCAAGCGTAACTCAGATGTGGCACAAGGCCAAAAGTATGGGGTACCCAGTGTGGATCGAACTCACTAATTAGTCGCGATAGTTTTACCGAGACAAGCTTGCTAACCATTACACCGCCTAGAGGTACCCTGATTCACATTTGTGTATCTGACATGACCGGTTACAGTTGTAACGATTGCCGTTACTTTTTGCTAGTGGGATAGTTCGGCTTCCCCGATCAAGATAACGACCCTCCGGAAAATCTTCTTCCTTGCACAATGTTGGTGGGCGACCGGATCTTCTTTCGTTTGTTGTACGTGTTCTTCCCGCTCTAAGGCGTTCTAAGGTGTATGGGCGCATGGATGAATTGTTAAAGCGTTGACTGTGACACTCAGATGCGAATCTCACCATGGACGATCGGTCAAAGAGGTGATTTCTTGTTAATATCGTCCTGAGAAACGCGTGCTGGGGATGTGGCTGAGAACAATGCCACAGATTGAAATGAAGGAAACGAAACCTATTTGGAAGACGTCAATGGTTGTACTCAATTACAAATACTCAATTAATGAGCAAACAGAAGCTCTTTAACCTTGGATAACTGTCTATATAGGAATAGTGTCTTGGTAAAAATACCCCGCAAGGGTGCATCGTCCAGAAACACTAGCAAGGACTGAAATTCTTAAAAAAAAAGAAAGTGAATTCACAATCTACCGCAGCCTGATATAGCGAAACATCAATAAGCCAAATAGTAATGATGATATTAACCGTTTCCTTATAAGGAAACATTCGGTATTTATTGAGCAAGCAGCCATTGCCGGTTGAAATTTATATAATCTTTGTATTAAAACTATTTTTTTCGGGAAAATGGCTGTCTCAAGTCCGCAAATTGTTACCGCACTTTCCATAGATAATGGAGGTTTCCTTCCTAGCCTTTTGTTTAAAGTAATGTGGAACGTCAACATCTTGATTATGCCATTATTTTCTCTTCGAGTGACATTCATTTTACTTGTTTCTATTGATGAAAGCCTTCAAGTAATGTGGTTTCTGTTATTTGGTACAGTTATTTGCTTATGATTCTGTAGCGCCAGCCGACAATGGATACTTCTCGTTAATACTTACATGTTTCTAGCGCTCGAAGGAATTTTATGATCATTGATCCTAGTGGTCTTAATTTATCCGAATTTCTTAGATGAGGCGTTGTCATTAATTTTTGACGTGTTTTTTTAATGCTAGAAAAGGGGGAAAATAAACTCGTCAAATAATAATAATAAGGATCAAAAAATATTTTTTGGGGGGGGAATATTAACTAAGTATTATTATCTTACATTAATCGCATTGTCAGGTATCAAATTGTAGTGTCCCGCCAGAGGCTGATTCTTATTTCCGATCAACGCTGTTTACTAACGGCCGTAGAATAACGGTCTGGGGAGTCACAATAAAGAACAAATAAAATTAAGATGAAAGAAAGGTTAATTATAAATTATTAATAATTAACAACGCTCTTCCTGTGTATTTCCGATTGCTTAAATTTTGTTATTTGCTCATCTTAGTCTGGCACAAGGTCATCATAATGCGGCAACTAGACTCACTACTAATGATTTATGAGCCCAACTTGCTAACCATTGGCACTGTGATGAGTCGCCTAAATATTTACTTAACTTAGTCTGGCATAAGGCCGCAATAATGACACATTTAGGAAGGATCGAATTCGCTACTAATGATCTATATGGTCTAGGCAGGTAAACGTTTAGGAAGTTCTGTCTGGCACAAGGCTATAAGTAGTAATTTTCAACCAGTTTAACTCGCTAAGCATTTGTCCACTACGCGGTGCCTCTCGTTATATCATGGAAGTGTTTTTACACTTTTACTTTTGCAGTGTAATGTTTTGCCCATTTTCGAAACAGAAGGTTATCTTTTGCGCAGATAGCGTTTATCTACTCGCACGGAAAATGGCACAAAGCCGTACTTAAAGTGCCAATCCCATACGTAAACAAAAATTGTTCAAGCTCCTTTGGCAGTACCATTTTGAGATACTTCAGGCATCAGAAATTGAATTTGACCCCCACAGTTTTAGTGCAATGGGAGCGGTGAGACGATCCCACCTACTGGAACTGATCCTAATAAATACTTTTTTTTTTACTAATTTAATTCTATACAAGGCTCAACAGCAATTCAATGTAGTTACTGGAGGAGATTGTTGTGTGAGAGGTAAGAGTAAGAGGCGCAGTTTATAACAGTATGTGGGAAGGATAACGGTTAACCCTAGAACAGGTTAAGATTGTAGTGGTCGGGAAAGCATTCTCTTGGGAGTTGGTGCCACAAAGCAGTGGTTCGGGAGAAGAAAGGCTGTTTGAGTGGAACTTACTAATGAAATACGAAGGAAATGAAGCTGGTTTGCCTCAGTGTACGTGGCGCAGCGGGTCTTAGCTGTTGGGGACACTGAGGAATGTAGGTCGTATGAACATTTTTGATGGAAATAGCGATAAAATAGTGACAGGCTCTGCAACGTTTCGTCTTTAAGAAATGGGCTGTAGGGTAAAAATAATTTATCACCCAAAAAGGCCGCGTAGACGCTTTTCAGCTCTTTCAAGACTGGAACGATAGATAATGAAAAAGACCGAGATTGAAATGTTTTCCACGATGACGAACTACTCTCGCTCGCAATCGAACAATGGTGTTGTGGAGTTTCGAGAGTATGTAGGGGAATATGTCTTCTGTGGAAGATGCGTCGTTTTTTCTTTATTTTAATTAATTTATTTTTTTTTTTTTTTGCACTCAAGGTAAAGGTTTCCTGAATAAGGGGCACGGTTTAAGCGGATAGGTGAAAAAGATAACGCTTAACCCTGAAGTTAAACAGGTTAGGATTTTAGTGACCGGAAAAACGCCATCTTGATAGTCGCCTCTACTGAAGTTGCTTGAGTGTATATTACTTCACACCAATGGAATACGGAAGGAATATGGACGATTCGCTACAATACGCGTAGCCTGAAAGTTCCTAGTCTGGAAGTTTAGAACTGGTGGAACTAAAGAATGTAGTTCATTTGAGCACTTTCCATGGAAATAACGATAGAGCAGTGACAGACATGCTGCATCTCGTCTGTAGAAGAAGAATTGCATGGTGGAAAATAATCTGTCACCCACAAGGACGCGGAGAGGATTTTGAACTCTATCGACACTTGAAAGTGAGGACTGAGCAACTCCTGCTCAAATATGACAGCAATACTCCGTTTTCATTCTGATCTGGCTCTTGTAAGGGAAGAGAATATCACGAGGAATCGGGTACATACTGGAGCGGTACAGAGAACCGGATTATTTTAGCATCTTTAGCTTTGGACCCGAGAAACTACAGAGAGCTTTGCACACAGACAAAAAAAATTAGGGGTCAAATAAAAATGACGTTTCTTATTGAAGATATACTCACACCATTCTCTTCTATTCTTTGTTGTTCTTGCAAGCGTTGCTTTATTTCCCCCATTCTCTGAATAAAATCAAAATCATAAGCGATTATTCATTTAAATTTTAAATGCATTGCAAAAATTTGGTAAAAAGACAATAACAGACGACTACGTTAACCCTAGAACACTAACCATCAATTAAAGTTACACCACTACTAACCATGGGTATATCATACCCGATTTTGGAAATATAAAAAAAAAAAATTTAAATATAAATCATTATTTGAAATATTTTACATGCAGGCACTTCAAATTTTGTACTTTGAGTTAACATTAATAGGAACTGAAAACATATTATTTAGGTAAGAAAATCAGGTACTGAAAATTGTAATTAAAAATAGGAAAATTTGCGCTGGGTACTATATACCCATGGTTAGTGTTCTAGGATTAAAGAGGGGTATCAATCGAACTATCTCACTCTTAGCTAGTTCTTTCTCTATAATCCTGGAATCACGCGTGCACGCACACACACACACACACACACACACACATATATATATATATATATATATATATATATATATATATATTACACGTTTGGACGATCATGTAACTTTCGATACATGACTAACGAGGAAGATTTTTTCCCGCAGTAGGTTGACACTTCTTTCTTAGACCAGTTGACATCCAAGGCTATAGAACTTGGTCTGTTCTGCTATTTGGCCATAGCTGGGGGTGGGGAGAAGAAGAGGATTCCTACTTTTCCCAAAGGTATAAGTACGTAAGTAAATGTAATGGATCTGAATGGAACTCGGCTCTCCGATTTTTCAAGTCGAACCGCTATCCATTACTCCACCGTGCCCCTCTCTCTCTCTCTCTCTCTCTCTCTCTCTCTCTCTCTCTCTCTCTCTCTTTATATATATATATATATATATAGTTGCATAATTCATTTTAGATGCATCAAGGGTAGTTTTTAGCGATGCACTGTCCTTATCGCCGATTTCGAGTTTTGTATCATATCGGCTCAAATAGCAAATCCGACTCGACTCCAGACAAGTCAGGCCGCCTCCTTGTAAGCGTCATTCTACGCACTTCGACATTGCAAAGATTAAAATCATATCGACATAGCTAGGCGTCTGACCTTATTGAAATACGTCCGTCAGCGTCAGCCAATGACAAAAAAGGCTTTTCACGCCCCACACCTATATACTGTTGTTTTTTAAACTTCGTCCGGTTTCGATTCGAGTTACTTCCCCTGGATTCCTGACTCGGTAAGCTGGTCACTTTCCTGTATAGTTTAATCCAAATGTTTCATACGTTTTAAATTGCTAATCCCATAACATTGCTAACCCTTTAACTAAATCTACATGCGTACCCAATCTAAATCTGTCCTATGCTAGCACTTATGCTTCACAAAAAATTAGTCTAACTTTTCACTTACAGTATCGTTTCTAAAAAAAGAAAACTCGCTAATCTTACTGTCAGATAAATCTTTAAGTCTACATTTACCTTATACGCATAATCAAACGAAATTACACAAAAATTCATATACATGTATGTAATCCCACACATCTACATAGCTAGCCACTGATATTCAAGGATACCCGTTTACAAGGGCGGCTAGCCAATCCTTATTGCAGACGCTTGCTCAGGCACATTTGTGTTTACAAAGCCCACATGTGGTTTATGCTGCAACTGTGTTGATATATATATATATATATATATATATATATATATATATATATATATATATATATGAATGAATAAAAATGACAATAGGAAAACTGGTAATTGCTGACGCGTTTCGTCCAATGTGGACATTATTTTTTTTTTTTTTTTTCGTATTTTGCTTTGATAAAGTCCACATTGGACAAAACGCGTCAGCAATTACCAGTTTTCCTATTGTCATTTTTATTCATAAATATTGTCTTCTCTACCGATTAAATCGGAGAAATTTTCATATATATATATATATATATATATATATATATATATATATATATATATGATATTTTTTTTGTTTATACGTTATTTTGATAGATACGGTTTATTTAAGTAAATACTCTGTCTTTTAGCTAAACAATATTAATTACATTTACCGGCCTGAATGTTCGAGAAATTTAATAGAAATATGCGTTCTCCAACAGCAATCGAACGTGTATCCTATACAGAACCGCCAATTGATCTTTCGTGCTATACCACTCCGCTACAGAGAAAGTATCTGGTTAGCAAAGTCCAAATTACTTCTTAAAACAACAAATCTTCGACGATCTTTCTCGGACGTTCATATCTACTCACGAAACTTACCTTAACGTAAACATTGACAACATATTATGAAATAGTTTAGAAAATATCAGTTCTCTAATCAGACTGACCGGTCGCTTTTTCTGCATCTGAGTGAAATAGCACGTCAGATCAATTGACGGTACACAGGTTCGATTCCTGTTGGAGAACGCATATTTGCTACTGGATGTAGTCTGTCGTCATACCCAACACATACATGAAAATAAGTATCTGAACAAATCAATGAGGTTTGTAGACAGAAAATTGCTAAAATAAATGTGTTTGATGTAGGGAAATCAAAGTTATGGCAAGAAAAGAAAATTGCGTATATCTAAAGAAAATATGTGCACATATATTTCAAATTATAATTTATGATAATTTTATTAAGGTGTTAAGGGAAATATAGAATTTAATTAAAATAAAAATATATAATAAAATTTCATCATGGTGTTTAACGCGTGTATATTTTTAATATGATTTTCTTTGAGTATAATCTTAGCTAGAAAATGGGATATGTTCGAAAACCTATTTTTTAATTAATTGAATCGAATCGTGATATCATAGCCGATTCAGTAATTCTTCCAGATGATTTATTATGAATAAATATAACCATTTTGGCGTTTTTAAATTGAAACGATGATTTGTATATTGGTAGAAAGAAGAATTTATTTCAACTATATAGCTCTTTTTTTGTTCATAAAGTGCTTACTCTCACGTTCAAATACCGGTTCCCGTACGTCCACGGAAGTTAAGCAAAGTCGAGCCTGGTCAGTACCTAGATGAGTGAACGCTTAATAATAACAGGTGCCGTAAGCTTGGATGTGTGGGAGATTTAATGGATTGTTAATCGGAGAGCCGAGTTCTAATTACTGGTGTGTTCGTTATATTCGCTTACGTGCAAATAAATATCATTGGTAAAGGTATGAAACCACCTCTTCTCCCCATCATAGGTTAATAAAAAGGATTTCGTAACAGTAAATCATCAGTATCCCCCAAAATATCTTAGAATTTAAAAATAATTTCTGGCTTTAAATAACATGCAAAGGGTTGATTGACGTAAAAAATGAATCACTCAATATGTTCATAGATGCGTTTTTATAATTCGTTGTTTCATCAGTATAAATTTTATCACATTTACTACATTTGATCATATATATATATATATATATATATATATATATATATATATATATATATATATATATATGTATGTATGTATATATATATAAGTTGCAGCACAGATGTAGGCATATGTATATTTATCAATATATACTTCTTAGGTCTTAGTTATACTTTATTTTCCATATTACATATTTATGATAAAAAACGATTGTGGTTTTTCTCTTTAAAATAAGCACTAGTCTCTCGCTGGAACACCTATAATCTTTCATATATATATATATGTGAAGAAATATACATTTAAGGTGTGCTATATTTATGGGATAAAGTGCTCAATATCAGAGATAGAGCGTGTGTAAATATAAAATAAAAGTGAACATTGAAGTCAACACTCAGAGTCGATAAGGTGTTTCATGCTAGACGCAATCGTCAGGCGGCGACGATTGCGTCTGGCATGAAACAGCCTGTCGCCTCTGAGTGTTAACTTCAATTATATATATATATATATATATATATATATATATATATATATATATATATATATATATATATATATATATATATATATATATATAAGTGACAATGTCAGTATGTCACTATGTCACACTTTTTCAATCAAGGAGACATAACTCTCTATAGCTCATCTCCTTCTATATGATAAATAACAATGTCAGTGTGTCACACTTTTTCAATCAAGGGGACATAACTCTCTATTGCTCATCTTCTTCTATATAATAAATGTCAATGTCAGTGTGTCACACTTTTTCAATTTATATAATAAACCTCATCTTCTATATACTAAACTAGCTTAAATGCCTCCCGATATTGAACTATAGAGATTTGTGTCCCTGAACTTTGTCATCCTGCAACAATAATTCTTGTTTTTCTTTTTTCACAAGTTCTCGGACATTAAATGTTCCGATGGCAAGGACTTCATATGAAACTGGAGACATTAAGTTTTAAATAAGTAGTTACTAACTTTTGACAGTTGACAGCCGGAGAAGTCATTACCTTCTCCGCTAAAACTTAAGCCAAATGAAAATATGCAGGCTCAAAATTTTCTTGATTGCAGTGCGCATAGGTAAACTCCTGTACGAGAATCATGTTAAGACAGGAAAAATATGCAATAGAACAATTATATTAATTGAAGAATCCAATGCGACAATTCAGAAAAGTTTAATATGGGAATTGATAATAAATAATAGAGAATTATTATTAATTTAGTTCCATAAAACACAACTAATGTATAAAGGATTATGAATTTATCGTTTGCCAATATTCACAAATTTAGAGGGAAAATAATGACGCCTGTATGAATCTGTTTTCGTGTAATCGCGTTCTGTTAGCATTTATCATCTTGAATAAAATAAGTAATTTCAAATAAAATAAAAATATGTTGTTTTTTTTTCTCAGGCAAATTTTCTCGACTTCTGAAATCACTATGCTGTTCCTCTTTCAATTCCTCGAAATGCTAAAACGATGTGCGTTCTGGTGGAATTTATTTCCTAAGTAACTGACAATTTATTTAATACCGAAGGTGACCTCAGCTGAACGCGTCAATATTTTAACAGCACTCAGTGATGCTTTCAGAATATTACACCAAAATATTTCGAAAAAAGAAGGCAAGGTTCTTTTTTTTAAAGAAATGGCTCTCTCCTCACTTTTCGTTCTCTTGTGGAAGAAGTGAATCAAGAAGCACGCAGAAGCGAGTGATATCACTTGACCTGATATTATAATTAAATTATTTAACTCAAGACTCATCAAATTATTTAAATCAAGTTACATTTATTTCTTTTCCCGTTATAAGCTTTAGGTCATGTCATAATAATATACAAGTTGATTGATGATGAGATGCCATCATTCTTTAATAGCCAGAAATATTTGGAGAGAGCTGAGTTGTATTTTATCAGACATAAGGTCATTCGATGACGGCAAAAACGAAATTACTAAGGATTTTCAGTAGATCCCAAATTACCGGAATGTATGCTCGCTCCGTATACAATATTATTAGTCATACATTGACCGTTTAAGGGACAGATCCTATTTTTTCGGCAGTTGCATTTGTTTTAGAAATATTTACGTTTTCTTTATTGGAAATATATTTGTTAAATACAATGTTGTTATTCTGAGATATGGTTTTATTTATGTTATTAACGCAGCTATAGTTGATTTTAACATTATTTTTGTTAAAAAAAATTTTTTTTAGAGCTGGCGAATGGTTAAATGCTTATGGATTAAATTTAGGAAAATCCTTCCGTATTAGTTTTAACATTACGATTAAAAGGTGGATTGAACCATATAATTTTACGCTTACGGTGTTTCTGTTTAATTTTACCTTCTTTGTTTCTTTCTAAAAACTCAAAATGTATTTTATGATGGCTTAGTTCTAAAGCCTTTGTATATTTAATTTTATTATTATCAAATATTTCCTTATCGCTGGAGTTGGTAGATAAGTCTAAGGTCACACCAAGAAAGTTGGTCACTTTAGCATGGGTAATGGTAATGTGTAGTTCGTGAGCTTTAAAAGATTTTCACAGTTCCTTTCTCAATCGGTCTATATTTCATGGGCTTGTTACGGGGGAGAATTACATCTTCATGCCTATAGAGTACGGTACTTTTAATATCGAAAATAAATCTTAGTCACCACAATAATATTCCAACTAACTCGCATGTCTCTGTTGAGTCAAATGCTCCTATTGCAATATTAAACTCTGGGTTACTTCTTTTGGTCCACAGGAAACCATTATGAAATAGTATAGGTTTTACTGCCTGCTTTATGATATTTATTTCGCAATCGCTAATAGGACAGTAATTTCTTCCTAGTTTTAAAGCAGGCATTAGCAGATCCTCGATGATTGACGGATAAAAGTCATAAATATCGAATTAGATGAAAGTACATTCTTCCTTCCTTTTTATATGAGTAAACCATTCGATGGCTTCTGCTGTCTTATGCCACTGGTTAATTCCTACAGCATTTTTACTGTATTTGCATATGCTCTTACGAAATTATTTTGAGTTGGGTTGAGTAATCGGTATCGAGGGTTGTTTAGGAAATTTTCCTTGTGGTCTTTAATTGTAGTGAATGCTTGTTGTTAGTGGAATTTGTGGATCCTGTCATCATTTTTTAGAGCAGTGGCCATTTTCTTGGCTTCCATATTGATATTATTTTCTGAGTTGTTGTGTGCCTTTAAATAAAACTTATTAACTTCCCTGTTAATAGCTTTATGGTACCATATCCGCATCGATTTTGTAATGGTTATATATATATATATATATATATATATATAAAAGTGAACATTGAAGTCAACGCTCAGAGGCGACAGGCTGTTTCATGCTGGACGCTTTCACTTGTATATTTATATTTACATACGCTCTGTCTCTGATATTGAGTACTTTATCCCATAAATAAACCACACCTTAAAACTATATTTCTTCATATATATATATATATATATATATATATATATATATATATATATATATATGCGCTTCACAGCGTTAATTCCTGTGAAAGGATGGCCCTTGTCGTAATACGAGTTTTATGTTCACGCGATATTCCCAATCGGTTTTTGCTCTGTCTAGGTAAGTTAGGCGTTGGGCACTTTACTGATTAGGTAGGTTTTTGCTTTTAAGTCTTTTTCTGTTTAGCTCTCCTTTTGAGTATTTATCTTGTTTAAGGGTACTTGGTAAGGTGTTCCCCCAACGATTTTGGTTTATCCTTAACATATAAATGCATAATAGATGCAAGGTGAAATGGATAAATTGTCGTCTAAATTGCGCAAAAATGAAAATATCACTGTCATCTCATTCTAACAGATATAACAACCCAAATTACGCAAAAATATCTTTAAATACAAAAGAGTAAATTTATTCAATAAAATCGCCATTGGCTTCAACCACGGCCTCCAGACGACTTCAGAATCTTCTGCATCACTTCTGGACGGTCTCCTTGTTCAAGTTAGTGAATCTGTATATAATCCTTGACTTTAATTTCTTGGTTTGTGGCTCAACTGCGCTCCACACATAGTAATCATGGGGGTTGTAGACTGGGGGGGGGTTAGGTGACTAGATGTAATTGGGGTATGTTCTCGTAGAAATTGTCTGACAGCCATGACTGGGTTTTGCTGCTTGTGTGGTATAGTACAGAGTGCTGATGCCAGACATAGGGTCTTCCAGCAGCAACCCCCTTGATCCAAGGCAGCACTACCTCCTCAAACCAGTTGAGGCAGGCGTCCGAGTTGAGTCTGAGGTCCTCACAAAATAATTCGGTAATTTGTTTCTTATCAGAATGATCCGATTGAGTTTTCCGAGCTGTCGTACCTTCGTAATCACCATTAAACTCATTCAACTCTTTCCGAATGCTTTGCATTGTCACCCATACATTCGTATTGGAATTTCTGGCGCGAATGCCAAGCAGTACAGCATGTTGTTTCCAAATTTATGACAGAGGGTGAATTGCGTCATAGTGCTCTTTTTCTTACAGGCGGTGCCCAACTGACCCTACTATACAAGGCAATATCAAACACAAAGAACGCGCATACATGAAATTAAAAATATAAAATGGTGACAGTTTATCCATCGCACCCAGTATATATAGCGACATACTGTCTAAATACATATATAGACGCATAATATATATGTATACATATATGTGTCTAAATACATATATAGATGGAATAATATATATGTATATAC